TTTTAAAACATTATGTTCATGTCAATCAATCAGTAACTTTTGTCTTCTTTTGGCCAACTTGCCCCCATTCTTTTACAGAATACAAAATGTTTTAGCACTTGTATCCTACAAGGAGGGGATGGTCCTGGATTGCACTGATCACTGATAGAGGAGCAGTGACAGGGTGTTAATAAAGCCCATTCTTAATTCTATAGGTGAACACTCTGAAGACAGTGCAACTCTTGACCGGGTTTTGTCCTGGCTGTACTGTAACCTGTGGCACTACCAGCACTGTCCTGTAGTCTCTAGTTATTGCAAAGTAATTTAGCCCAGTATTCAAATGACAGTCATCAGTACTATGTCACTGATTAGTTGATCAATTCTGGAAGCTTCCCTTATGATACTGCAAAATAAATCAAAGCACGTAAAATTAATTAAGCCTTTTATAGTTAGTTTAAATGCTTTTAGAAACAGACAGGCATCTGTTCATCAGATGGCGTGAAGCTGTATTAGCACCAGTGAGACATGCAGCTAAGAAGGGAGATGACTCCCATTTCATAGCGAGGGCTGCAAAAAGATCATACAGACAGTTTGACACCTGTTTTAGAAGTCCTTCCCTTCTCCTCTCTTCAGACTGAAGGATGGAGATTGTAGACTGAAGGATAAAGTGGGCACCCGGCAGTCACACAAGCCTGTCACCACAGCACAGGAAAGGCCACTCGCAGAGCACCCCTGGGTGGCCCGCAGAGCCCAGCTTCACTGCAGTTGTCTCCTGCTTTACTGTGCAATTACTTCCTGTGCTGGATCTAGAAACTTCACCTTTACAGCTCCGAACGAACAACTTGGGCTCTGTTCTCCTGATGTTCTTTCCATAAAGACTTTCAGCGAGCATATGAGACGCACTAGAGCCTCCGTCACATTCCAACCATGGTTTCAGGAGCCTATGGTCAGAGCAGCAGAACGGCTCGAGTGTAGGAACAGAGGCAACTTCTGCATGCACTGGTATTTACTTCCTTTGGTAATAGAAAATAGTGCTGGATCTCCCAGAAGTGTCTGCAATGAGGCCAAATCCCGAAAGCAGACCTTTCGCTAACCTCTTTTGAGAAAAAGTCTATACAAGCTTTTGATAATAACCCCCCCCCAAGAAACCCTCTTCCCCCCAAAAAATCCACATGGCTTTTGGACAAGAAGAATTTTTGAACTGAAACATCAGGTTCTGAATAAACTCAACATCTCTGTGGATGGGGCTCCTGCACTTGTTCCTGTGCATATATTTCCCTTAACCCAAAGAAGTTCTGATAGACAGAGAGGCAGGCAGAAGTTTTAAGTAATCCTTGAGCAGAAGGCTAAGCAGAAACAGCTGCATCTTGTGCATGTGAATGTTTTCATTCTGCTAAAAGGACCTATTTTTATAGATAAAAGTTCATTTGAATACAGGGGTTTTCAAAATGACATACAGACATATTATGCGCCCATAGCTCTGTTTCACCCTGCATACTCTGACTGATAGTAATTTCAGAAAAACACTTGGGTTTTCTATTTTTGCACACCTATTTTTGCTTTCTTCTGTTGTTCCCATAAATAATAAGGACGCCGTCCTCAACCCATCTACCACATGACCATACGCTTTGATTTAGATCCCTCTCCTTGTGCCACTTGTTCCTTTTCCCTACAAGAGCAATAGTGTCTGGCAACACCTTGATCAAAGTGTCAGGCATTAAAGAGACAGGTAGAAGTAAGTGCTCAAAAAACACTCCTCATGTTTTAGGTAATTAAATGTAAGGGCTAAAGCGAGGCAATAAGTGTAAGAAAAAAATAATAGCCGCATGAGCCATTATTACAACCTTGTTCATAACCTTTTAGTAACTTACACCTTTCTCTTCCTGTCAACGTAGTTTTTGAAGTCTCATTTGTAGCAAAGCTGATGCTGATTATAAGGCTTATAAAATTCCCTGATTTCTTGAGACAAAGCAGTGAAGATTAAATTTCTGCTCAGGTAGCTAGATAGCTAACGGAGCCTGAAGTAACCTGGAGGCTACACCTGAAACACAGACGCCTGCTGGAAGGATGTTGCTGCTCAGAGGCGGCAAGTTGCCACTACGGATTCAGCATAGCTCGTGGGAGCCAAGAGCTGCAGCGTGAGTAAAGCTCTGAGGCTCTGCCCAAGCCCTGTGTGGCTTCCATCACATCAACTTCCTTCCACTTCAGTCACCTGAGACAACCTTCAGCTCCACGGTGGGGAGGAAGGTTTACACTGTAGGAAAGTACCGTGACTTAAAATAGGAGCTCAGCAGAAACACAGCATCCCACCACTGGAATCCTGGAGTCAAATACTATGTCTTTTGGAAAACCATACATATTTTTAAGGCAGAACAAATCTGCAGCAGACTGAATGACTGACATTAGAACATGCAGACCACGCAGATGTATTTCATACATGCAAATTTCTCATAAGGAACCAATAACAGTCCAAGATAAAATGACATTATTACAATAAACAACCACAGGTTGTTCTCAGTCGAACAGAGGAGAAGCCAAGTCATGGCATACTTGGAACTATGTCTTGAAAAGAAGTGCAGACGAGGAGGAATTCTAAGCTATAACCACCATCTGAACCACGAGTGGAGTAAGGGAGATGGTGGGGCCCAGGAATGCTGCATCAGGAAGTGCTTGTGGTTAAAAACAGAAGCAACCACATGAATAAGAGGTTTCAGGAGACAGCGAGACGACACTGATTGCAAAAAAATATTAGAGCACAGAAAAAGAAAACCAAGAAGAATTAAAAGGCCCCAAAAGATCCGTGCGCATTTGAGTCTGGTTTCAGGAGAACAGAGAAGTAAAACCCAACTAACTAAAGATGCAGGCATCCTGTAACAATAAAACTTTCCCTTCTTTGAAAGAAATCTCAGTTTGGTCTTCCTTCCCCATCTGGAAGCTTTCTCTTACACAAACACATGAGTGAAAGCACACAACATAGAACAGTTTTACTTTTCTTCTGCATACCCAGAAAAAGATCCCTTAATGACAACCCCCCCAACGTTACACTTTCAGCCTTGCGTAACTCCGTGGAGACCCTTTGAGCTATCACTGATCATCTGGAAGGTTTCTCTCAGATGTTAACATGCGGAATCTAATAAAACTATGAAAATGAGTAATGTTTCAATATTAAACACAAGGGGGGAAGCAGCTTTAATTATCCCACAAATGTTTGCGTTGAGTAGGCAGGAAAAGATTTCCTGCGTATAAACCATGTTATGGTATTAAGAAACTAATGGAGCTTGCTCCTAGCTGCTGTCTCAGCCCTTACCTTTTACACTGAATGAACTCTTTAATGAGAGGACCTCTTTTTAGAGCAGTCAGGATGCAAAGGAAAGCATTGCAAAACAAACCAACATGATTCTAATTTGACCTTTGCAGCAGCACAGTACACACAATCCACAACACTTTTTATCTGAATTAGATCAAATATTTAAGAAGTACTGTTAATTAAAGAGATGCTGCCACTCACCATTTGAAATGAGGAATTTGCTGTTCATACTTGAAAGAACTCTTTCCTTCCAATCCAACCCATAAGTCTAAAATGCTTCTTTAAAAGAGTTTAAATGGCTTGGGAGGAGGAAGCATCATGCCAAAAGACAGAGGACTCAAGCTTTGAAGCTGTTGGCATCTGCAGCATGTTGATTATTACATCTACTTTGGTCTGCTAATAAGTGAGGAAATGAGAACTGACCGTCACTGGGTGGGACTGACCTCTATTTGGCTGTAAGGAAAACCGCAAACTGTGTTTCTTGTTCCTTTAGGTATGGTGTTTAGTGGTCAACACATTGAAGAAATGTTTGGGGGGGGGGGGTTGGAAAAGCCAGATGCCAGATTTTCCTCTGCATCAGCCTGAGACATTTTTCAGGGAATGAGAAGTATGAGGATTTCACTGTAAGAGTGGTCAGACCCTGGCACAGGGGCTGAGGGAGGCTGCAGAATCACCATGCTCACAGACAGTCCGCACTCAGCCCTGAGAGCCCTGATTTGAGCTGGGCAAGAGGCTGGACCAGACCACCACAGGCTCCTTCTAACTGAACTTACTCTATGAAGCATCATGGCTGATTCACACTAATTTTGACAGAAATGGTCCCTTTCGTCATAAAAAATAAAAGCAAAATAAAACAGGAGTCTGAGGGCTGCTCTCCTACTGAAGGATACTTCTGGTCCCTGCAGATGCAGAAGTCTTAGCAGAGATACATCTCTGCCCAACTGCAAACTCAACATAGAGTTGAAATGGGGTCTGAGGTTTGACTGTTGGTTGCTCATCTCTGCCAGCATTCCTATCTCCCTGCAGATACAGCCTGTTCCAACAAGTACTGCATCTGCAGAGGAGCTGGAACAGTGGCATCCAGAATCAAGCAAAACCAGGACTCTGAATTCTCTGGGGGGAGAGGAGTCCCCAGAGAACATTTTGCCATATACCATGTTCTTAGAATCCTATCATTCTCTGTGCCTAATAGTCATGGTGTATGTTAAAACAGCATACACAAGAGAGACGCCTCAAACAATCAGATTGGAAAAGAAATAATTTCCTCTTCCATGAAGTCGCATGCTTTCCTTGTTTAAAGAATAGGAAATGAGGGGCTAATTGATTTACACAGGGCAACACAACTAATGATGTGTTAAGAAAAGTGCTAAAAATCTGTAGTCTCAGAGAAGTGAATGAAAGAAGATTCTCTTCTTGTCCTCTGATTTCATGCACAAAATTGATGTTTTTGTCTTGCCTGGCATGGTCTTTCAGAGGGTTAGCTTCAAGTCTATTTAACTGATCAACAGTTCTTCCATCACCAACAGCCATGTCATTTCCCTTGCTCACTGACTGTAATGATGATGGTTTATAAAATTTTATGGGATTCAAGCCTTAAAATCTACTTCTAGGTGAAGTGTGAAACAATGCTAAAACCTATCAATGTATTTTTTTGCCTTTGCTTGTAAAATCAGGCATACACTTATTTGCATTTAAATCTTCTTCTTTATTACAGTGATTCGAGCTAAAATATCCAGTGAGAAGGTGGTTCCTGCCAGTGATAATCCTCTTGATACCCACAAAATGATCCGGTATGAAATCAAACAAATAAAGGTACATGGAATCACTAAGCTATTTTGAAGTTCAATGCTGATAACCTATGCATATTACTATAGTCTAGTCCTTAAAGGCTTTAAGATGGAAAAGGCTCCAGCTGGCTCTCACTGATGTAAAACAGATCATGAACTACCTGCGTTGGGAATACACAGGAAACAGGTCATGTCTTTCAGTTAAAAGTTGTTGATGTGCATTGGTGGGGATTTTGTTCGTTGGTTGGGCTTTGTTTCTTATGCTTCCCAGGCTGTTTTATCTCTAGTTTTCCATAAAATATTGTTTCACGTTATTTGTATGACATTATATATAGATATATATTTTATATATATATATATGTAATGACATTGACTGCAACCCCTTAGCAGATCATTATGAATGCTACCTGTTTAAACAGTAAGTAAGCAGTCCTTCAAACTGTTATCAGTTGATCATCTCACAGGAGGTTTAGCAAGAAGAACCTATGGTAAACAAGAATATCACAAAATATTCCCAGGGGTGCTTACCACCCATAGATTCTGAGAAGGTTTTATAGTCATTTTCACAAGCCAGTTCTTTTTACCTTGCTGAAACAAGCCCCCAATCTCTTCACCATCTGCCACTTTGTCTTCTTAAAGTATTGAGGATGTTTTGAAACGTTTCTTTACAGAGGTAAGCATATACATGTCAGAGCAATTCTCTTTCCTTCCATTAGCACTTGAATCTTCTGTTGCTACTCTGCAATACTTCAGTAACATTAGAGAAATGCAAATAGCCTTGTACTTCAGCACAAAAAAAAAGACTGAGAAGTCTAGTCGTGTTCCCATTCTTCAGTGACAGCATGCCAAAATCTCCGATACAGATCTATACACTGGACCTGCTTTGGAGCTTCCCCCAAATTTGTCTAAGTGAAGGCCTGTTCAAAATTCAGGCATCAGTACGAGAGCTCTACTTAATTCTTCTGAGCTTCAGAAGGCAAGTAGCTGGGACTGGACAAATCAGAGAGATTTGTTTTCTAGTAAAAGATGCTCTGCATCATTACATACAGGTTTAGTCTAAAGACAAATGGGTTTTAATAGTCCCACCCTGCAACTTCTCACTTCTGGCCAGAAGAGATTCAAGAAGAGGCAGGAGCTGAGAAGATCAAATATGGATTATGAGTTAAACAAAAGATTATCATCTTAAGAAATGCTTTAACAAACATCTATGTTCAAAGCAGAGATAGCTCAGTCTTTGATTTAAAAAAAAAACAACAAAACAAACACCAAACTCATTAAATATTAACTAGATCCCCATTATACATTGCTATGGAGATATAAATATATATATGTCTTTAATAGCTAAATCAGTTTGTGTTACCTGCATAATGCCTCTTCAGTTAATTTAGATGAAGTGATGAGATACCAAAAGAAAAGCTGCACTCTACTATACACTGTAGCCCAACCCCAAGTTTCCTAATGGAGAGAGAACTCAAATCAGACAATACTGTTGTAGTTACTGTGTACTAGACACCCGTGTCTAGCACCCACACCCTCAATAAGGTAGACTGAAGTGCAGCAGAAGGAGGGGATGCAAGTTTCAAAGACGGCAGGCTCAGTGTGTTTGTTTTTCCTACTAGAGTACTTCAAATTCACATCTAATCTTTTTGGATAAGAAGTCCAATGACAACAACTTTGGCTTTTTTTACTCCATAAATAAGGCTTCAGAAAAATGAGCACATTACAGTGTATTCTCTAGAGCCCTGTACTATTTACATCCCTTGAGGGGACTCAAGTAACTTCATTTTCCAGTGACACGGCTGTCCCAAGAGCCCCGTGACCGACGGCCGCGGCTGTCAGCACACAGCACAATGTCACCCTAGTGCTGGGGTTTCCGTGAGCTCGTTTTAGGAGATGACAGCCATGCTGAGGGTGATCAGCATCTTACGGTGCTTTCTTGCTTTTGGGCACGAGTAAATTGGTTTTGATCTAATGGCTTATATAAGAATTCTTGTCAGAGTTGGAAATGCTGGTTATGGAGCAGTGACCTGAACACTGCACAGGCTTTGATCCTGAACCCATCCACCCTAGCACTGCAGGCTAGGAATGCCGAGAGTTGGGTCCCGTTTGCCAACAGTTATTTGAGAAGGCTGCATTGGGCAAAATTCTGGCTGTGGAAAATGATGCTGCAGCACCTTGCTTAAGATCACAGAATCAAAGGATGGTTTGGGAGATGAATGCTGCCCCTGCATTACTCTGTAAATGGAGGATGCCAGTAGAAAATAAATTGAAGAGAAAGCTGCAAAAATCCATCAAAACCACTGAAAAAGCACAGTTAAAACCCCTATAATTTGAAAAAAAAAAGACCTAATTTCCTTCTAAAAATGAAAAATAATGGACACATTTCATTTAGTGTGGAGAAGGGGTCCAGTTGTTGGTATGTCCTCATATCAGTTCAGATGTTAGAACCTTTCTTGAAGGGATGCACCGTGTATTTCTTTCAGCTGTTGTTTGCAACTGCTCATTCCTGTTTGTTTTCCACTAGTGACTTTCCGTGTCTGATCGTTTTCAGATGTTTAAAGGATTTGAAAAGGTCAAGGATGTCCAGTATGTCTATACCCCTTTTGATTCGTCCCTCTGCGGTGTGAAACTAGAAGCTAACAACAAAAAACAGTACCTTTTGACAGGTAAAGTGTAACAAAACTAATGCACCCACAGAGCCAGAAGTAACTGCTCTGATTGACTGCAAGAATATGCCAGCCCTTGTGATAAAATATTTATGTTCTAAATAACACAAGCACAATGAAATGTACAGTTGTGTAAAGCTGTAGTTACACTGGGATCTGACCTGGTTTCCATCCTTCAATAAGCTTAAAGCAGTTTCAAAGGAAGGTCAGTAACCACGCCATTAGTAAATAGGAAGCATGGCATCCTTATCTGTTTAAAGCCAACAGCAGTGCTTGTCCCAGGAGTGGCAGACGTGCTTAATGAGACAACATGCCCACACGTATGCAGACTGGGGTTCTAAGTAATTACAGATTTTTCCAGGGAGCCCCGAAAGCTAGTTTAACCTCCTGCTGCATTTGCATCCAGCTCTTGCTGGCAGATTATGAGCATCTTCTGAAATCTGTTACATTTATTTAGCCCCATCAGCAGAATAGTTCTCTCAGGTCTAATGACATTCCTTGAAGAAATTGTGAAACACGACCAATTTGGTGGAGTTAAAAACTTATATAGGATTTCTATACCCTATAGGTTTTACATAACTTATATAGGGGCTTTTTTAATAAGATATTCTTGCAGTTGATTTCAGTATTCAGAAAACAGTTTTATTTGCTTGCCTGATTTTTCTCATTTTCCATGCTGTAGGCCAAATTTTAAATGATGGTAAAGTCTTCATCCATTTATGCAACTACATTGAACCATGGGATGACTTATCCTTGTCTCAAAAGAAGAGTCTTAATCAGAGATACCAAATGGGCTGTGGCTGCAAAGTAAGTATAGAACAGAACACTGGCTAACAAACAGTGGAGCCTCCTCACAGGCACCAGCAGCCCTCCCTGCTGGGAACTGTTCTGTACATGAACTATTTCATATTACATGAGAATAAATATTGTTTAAATGAAACCTGCAATGTGCTGACTTCATGCCCTATTTCACGTCTAGATTACGACCTGCTACATGGTGCCCTGTTCCATCACTGCACCGAACGAGTGCCTCTGGACAGACTGGCTGATAGAAAGAAAGCTGTACGGGCACCAAGCCAAGCACTATGCCTGCATCAAGAGAAGTGATGGCACTTGCAGCTGGTACCGAGGTGGTCCTCCCCCAGAGAAAGACTTTATTGACATCAGCGAACCTTAAACCCATCACTTTCTAGAAAGCCTCGGAGGCTAATTCTATCAAACACTGCACGCTCACAGCTTTGAACTGCCATCCTCTAATGTATCTGTTGCTTAGAAACAAAAACAAATTGTCCTGTACAGCTAAAGTACGAGTCTGTGGAATTGGCACTCACGCAAGATGAGGAACAAACCTCCTGGAAGTAGCTACTCTGTAAAGTTACGCTTTGTACAGAGAGGCTCAAGCTGAGAATGCGCCTCTGTGTCCTCTAAGGCACAACAAGTTTCCCTTTTACCAATATGAATGTACAAGAACAAAAGAATTGCCAGATTTTTTGTCCCCTATTTCTGTTAACTTACAGAGTTTCATTCCAGCCCCATGTTTCATTCCAGATCTTGCTGATGAACTACAGAATGTTTTATAGAACTATTTTTTCTGTATGGAAGCCTTCTGATACAAAAGAATTATTGTACAGTGTATATGTAAAGTGTTATAACAATGTGTTATAAAAAAAGATTAAAAAAATCCCTCTATCTCCTTATCTATTGAAACAAGTTGAACAGTTTCCTGATTCAAACAATCTATGCTCTGTATTTTGTACATTACTTAAGTCATAGCTTTCTTTATCTACAATTTCATGGATAACTAAGTTAAGAAACAGCTTTGATAATCAAAATCCTCTTACCCAATTCAATATTTCTATGGACTAGGTATATTTTGGTGAAAGAAAAGCCACATGTTCTAATGCTTCAGCATTTCATGGAACCTCCACAAGTAACAACAGGCTAAAACTGCACATATTTACAGAAACCATGTGGGGCATCACAGCAGCTGCAGCACCTGATAACGCCTCTCTAAATATGTGACTAGGTCATTGTATTTCAGCACTGTTAAAAGCCTTGGCTTTAGAAACTCATGTAAAAAAACATATGCAATAGATACTGAATGACTTACACTGCAAGTGATTCCTTTTAAGCTCTCAACTATTCGATCATATCAAATAGATTAAATTTACATTAATGATTCACAAATACCCATCATACTCTGTCATACAGCATTCAGTAACTCATGAACTAGAGAAGTGTTACAGTGTACTTTGCTTTTTAGCGTCTTAACTTTTATGAATCGATTAGTGTAGTTCATAGCTAATCCCACACATACTTGAGTTACAAAAGTAATTCAGTTCACAGTGGTAAAACTCATGGAATTCTGTCAGTAAATGCCAAAGTTCAGACAATTATACAACTGCTCATTCCATAAACTGGATGAGACCCATCACACATGGTATGAATCTGCAATAGCTGCCATTTCTGATGTATTCTACTCTCTCCAATTGGGTTTCTTTTACTTCATCCCAGTTTTGGCTAGAAACAACTCTCATGTATTCCTCACAGGCGACTTCAGAACAACAGGTGGAGATTTAGGCAGTTCTGTTCTCCTTTGGTTAGATCGGGTCTATTTAAACACTGTGCTAATTCCTGCTAACCAGTGGGACATTTCCAGCCCATGGGCTCACCAGGTATCAGAGCTGTTCCTGCCTATTGGTTCAAGGGTCCACTTTTCCAAATAGTCCCTTACTCTGTTTGCTTTAGGGTCCTTATAAAATCCCTGGGACTTCAACTTGCAAAGAAGATATGCACATCTTGAATGAAATTAGAGGGGCCTATGCACTTAAATTTGATGAAGTAGTAGTCTGGACATCAAATGCAGCATGTTCACACCCTGAGTTATGCTGCATTGGATATACAGTGTACACTTGTTAAAAACCAACTGTATGAATGATTTTGGTGACATATTCTGTTCATGTTTCTAATGTTTATTTTGGCACTTGCATGAATCCCTATTTAAAGGACAGGTTTCAAATGCTCTTGTGAGAATAAATATACTTACTCTTTTGGTGGCTAAACTTACACAACTCCAATGAAGCACAAACGGAGCAGTGTCAATGGGAAGGCATGCCGTTATTCCCTTGAGGAATATATACCCCATAATAGTCAATATTTCTCTTTTTTATTTACTGGAAATCACTTTTGCTCTTTTAACTTACAATCCTAAATTAAAACACCATCTATCTGTCCTGCCAAAAGTAAAGCCCAGCTCATTTTCTGCTTTGCTAAAGGCAAACCAAAAATTACCCAGCACTAATTTGGACCACAGACTTACCATGGCTGCTTACATAAATGAAATACAAAGGCTGCATTTCTTCCCCAAAAGAGTTGATCTTGCAGCTCCTATACTGACAGTGCTATTTACTGTCAGTGCTGAGCATTTATATTACTAATTTACAGGAAGACTTAAAAATGAGGCTGTATTTCCTCATGTCAAACCAAAAGCACTCCTAGACAAGCCTGCAAGAGTTTAATAACCATACAAAGGCTGAATCAAGAGCATGGCTAATTACTATTCAGCACATGTACAGTGGAGCATTTGTTTCCAAATCCATTTTGATGCAATGGTGTTTTCTGAATAGCACTGTGCAGCAAACAGATATTTCCTGCTTTTTAACTCAACATAGTTCTGTTTCTGTTTCAGTTTTATAGTGATCAGATCTTAAACACAACTAATCCGACTGAGAATTGCCTTCTTCATGTTCCTTGTAAAAATACGTGTTTTCTTTGATATTTATGAACAAACTGTATTATGAATTGTATGCCATAAAAACATTTTATATTTGACCTGCCATAAAATATCCCATATGGGATGCGTCAAAAGTAATAACCGTCCACTTTGATTTCTGTCTGGGCATAAATCTAGCCAAATTTCCTGCAATGGATGGTACAAAGATGTTGGTTTTTTTTTTTCATATCAGTAAATACAGCACTAAAAGCTTTACAGAAACCTGTCTCAGAATGAGGTTTTACCTTCCCTGAGATTCAGCAGTGGTAAAGCCTATGAAAAGGATTACCTACAACACAGCATTCCCAGCATGTTATTTCCCTAGCAAGATTTTTACTGTAGTGGCATTGATGTATTACCAACAGTGAATTATTTTTACAGCATTTTATTTTCACTTCTTGAAACTGTGTCCGTGCCATATGAAAGGTGAGAGCAGAAATACAGCCTGGGACAACTTTGGATTTTCATTTGAAAATGACTCACATGACTTATGGTAAGAGACGGGAGACTGCACAGGTGAACAGTTGGAAAACCAGCACCCTGAATATTGCTGGCTTTTGGTCAATATCCCAGTTAAGTTTTCATTAAGTTGTCCAACAGTTATGTTGAAAAAGCTGTTGTTTTGTTTTCATGACAGAGAACGTAAGAAGTGGGGATGTAGTGAAATAAAGGGAACTAATTACTGAGGGAAAGGCTGTACATAGCACTCGACTCGCACTGAGTTCAAAAGGCCTTACAGCATTTTGTATAATCAGTCTGAGATGAATGTTTCTGTTTCAAAAAGTGTTTCATTAAAGCAGCTCCATTTTTACACAAAAGAACAGCATCTTTCTTTCTTTACCTTTTCTTGCCCTCTGACGGCTCGGTACAAAGGATCACTGCAGTATGACAGAAGCAAAAGGAGCAGAAGCACAACCCTACCTCTGGCACGCTCAGCTGGAAACTCAAGTCACAGAGATCTGGAGCTTTCCCTGCTTCCCCCCACCCCAGCTGGTTTGCACTGGAGGGGAGGGAGAGAGCTCTAGGTTACAGTTTGGAGAATAAGAAGGGAAGGAGCAAACACAAGAGGGACTACAACAAATGACTCGAAACTGTAAATGCCAAATTCTATCAAAGCAAACACAAGTGAGGCTAGCTATGTGTTAAAACCAGCAACATTTAAATAGGATGATGTGATTTCAATTTGTAGAACCACCGAATCCCAGACCAGTCTGGGTTGGAAGGGACCTTAAAGCTCATCCAGTCCCACGGGCAGGGACACCTTCCACTAGAGCAGCTTGCTCCAAGCCCCTGTGTCCAACCTGGCCTTGAACACTGCCAGGGATGGGGCAGCCACAGCTTCTCTGGGCACCAGAGCCTCAGCACCCTCACAGGCAAGAACTTCCTAACATCTAAATCTACCCTTATCAAACAGAAGACTCTTGATACCCAGATCATCTTACAGCCCATTCTAGAACTTGGAATAAAATGTGAGCTTGTACCATGTTGCCCGATTGTTTTTTCCATAAAGTTCCAAATAATTTCTTTAGAAGGCAAAACCAAATAAGCTTCACCCCAATCAGCTACTATAGCCCATGTAAACCCTATATGGCACAACCAACACCAAAGTGCATTTATTTTCTCCAGATTAACATTCATTATATAGAAATATGTAAGAAAAGATACTCAGCTGTAGAGAATAGTAACATTTAGGAGTTCCAACAAAAGACAAATAGCTTATCAGTTCAGACATTAATGAGCAATGTAGAGGAACAAGGGGAAGAGGGGGAAACCCACTCAAATAGTTGTTACACTCTTAAGCAAAGTAAGCCCTATAAACACACGCGCGTATTTCCTGTTTGTGGTCTATTACTGAATTTGAATTCAGTTGTTCCAGACAGCAGATTGCAATTGCATGGGTAGACACTATGTAAAAATTAAAAGCTAACACATTAATCCTTGTTCCCACGTTATAGGATATTTTCTTTGTTTTTAATGTACTGCAATTTAGCACTGCATTAAAAAGGCTTGCTTTTTCAGTAAGATTCTAGAAGCACTGAGTATCTCAAGCTGGGAAGGACCCATAAGGATCACTGAGTCCAAATCCCTGCTCCTTGCAAGGCCACCTAAAACTAAACTGTCTGACTATGATCATCATCCCAAACTCCTTGAACTCTGACAGGCTTGGTGCTATGACCGTGTCTCTGGGGAGCCTGAATAATAGCTGATAAAATAACAAAGAAAGAACAATATTATGCACAAGAAATGATACACCAGCTTTAACCTTGGGCATTCTTAGGAGAATAGAGAGGTATAAAATTTAATACCATTTTAAAAAGCATCTTTCAAAATATGAGACGTGGTTCTGCTTCTCCACGTGTTACAAAATAAATCATAAAATACTTCCTTTGCATAGAGAAACCCCAAACCAAACAAACCAAAACCAAATCAATTTTATAAAGCTGTCTATTTTTGTGACAAATCCATCAACAAAAAACCCTGAGATGATGTCTGGGGCAAGATTCAGATCTGATGCTCCACATCAGCACCATTCTCATCTGCCTCTACAAAACTCCTGTGTAGCGAATTTACTGAATCCACACCACTGTGGTGAAAGCTCTTTGCAGAAGTGTTATACGTGACAGGAGAAGTGGAAACATCTGTGAGCCAACAGTGCAAAGAAACCAGAGAGAACTGGGGAAGCAGTATGAAGAGCCATCCCAACACTCTTGCACTACATCAAAAAACAGAGGAACTGCACCATACTGTGTTTACCACCAAAAGATGAGACAGTCGTGGGAGGAAGGAGACTTCAGAAGAAATCTTAGTCAGCCGCTGTCACCGAGCCTTATCTTAGATGCCACCTATGATAACGAAGTGCTAGCCAGATTCCCAAGGCAGACACACAGCAATTACAGCTTGAGGACCTTACATAAACAGCTAGCTAGCATATTTGTCACGACCTTGCACTGGTACTTGAATCACAGCTGTGTGACATTTGCTGAACGGATTATAGCCTAAAAATAACTGATGCTTCTCTCCTAGTCTATTCAATCAGCAAATAGCCTCCCTCCAGTTTCTCACAGTGCTCAAAGTATTTCCTCTAGGAAAATATACTCAGGAAAGAATTTCTGATCAGAAACCATAAGAAAAGTAAACCAAAAATGTCTGCAGCATAAGCCAGGTCATGAGGAAAGGTCCTAAGTGTTGTTTCTATGAATGCACTTATGCCTGTGAAGGACTGGAAATCAATGGCAACTCAGGTACATGAAGACCACAGAGCATAACCACCCTGATTTCAGATGAGTCCAAAGCTTTGCACTGACAGGCACACAGCTCCGTGTATCATCTACAAAGATAATGACTTTGGACATATAATGAAGGACTAGGTTGAAAACAAACCATAGAAGTAACTCTAGCACATTAAAAGTTCTTTAATGTCTTTATAAGTATTTAAGCTCTCTAAGATCTGAAGTTTGTCAGCTGGAAAATGACGACCTTCACATCTGAAAATCTTCCAGTTAACCATCACAATGCTTTCAAGTGGTCACCCACCTCATCCCTCCAAAAGCCTCCCAAATGGCTTTTAAAATAGACAGTAAGTGGGGAAAATGAATTGTGTGTTTACAGTTCCTGTTCTACAGTGAAAGTAAGCAAATTTAGTATTGGTGGCTGCACGTACCATTTCCTTGTGATTTGGGTAGAAGGTTTGCTCAATTAAAGGGAACTTCTCCGGACCCAAAGTTTTGTAGACAGACACCAGCTGGGCAAACTGTAAAAGAAAGCAAAACAGAACAAAAAGCTTAGGAAAGAAACCACATTCAACCAAAACGATCTCATACTCAATCAAAATGATCTCATCTTAAACCACAACATACTGTCATTTTGCTGCTTGTCTTCTGTGTTTCATAAACCCAGCAAATTCACAGGAACGTTCAACACTTGCTCTCTCCTCCCCTCTCATGTGCACACCTTTTCAAACCCTCCAAGCTTCCTGAACAGCTCCACAAAGAAAAGCCTCTATGAGTTAAGCCTTCACATGTGCAGAAAATGAAATACACTGGAATACTGCTTTTCAGATATCCTGTCTGTATGTTTGTGGTAATAAAATCATTATAATTTTGCATTTTCTATCATCTTTGATCTAAAGATCAGACACAATTGGTTGTATTTGGTACTTCACAGACACTAAAATACCCTTTTGCACAGGGAAAAGCAGTAGCTGTACCATATGGAACAAGTCAGGTGAAGGACAAAGCAGAGAAGTTTGATTCCCTAGGCTCTAGCCATGGCTATTCTTCCCCAAAATCAACAGAGGTGCTGGTAATTTAAGCAGCTACATGTTACTGCCATTTCTATTAATGTTTCTTTCAGTCTTTCTTCTCCAAGATAGTCAAGTCTACCTATACTCTGGACTGTCAGAACCTAATGCAGAAAGCAAGGCAGGATTTAAGCACAACAAGACAAAGAGTTCTTTATTAAACAGAAACGCATTTGGGGGCTGCTCTTTCTCTTCAGTGAGCAGATCAACTCTCCTGTTGTAACAGTTCAAAAAGCAAATCACTCTTGAGATCCAGGCTTGGCAAGTGAGGTTTCTAGGGAGCAAAGACGGCTTTGGCAGTCAGAAGACCACTATTGTTTCAAGCCTCCAAAGCTCTGGCTTGTACATGCCTGTGATGTGTTTCATTGTCATGATGCCAACATGAGACATAAACAACTTAGCACAACAGTGTGAATAGTGGGGTTTGCTGGTTACAAACAGGAAAAAAGCAAAGAACAATGGAACTCTGTAACACGGCTAGTTAGATAACATACCTACTCTAATGCAATTGAGAGTGCAAGGAGAACAAAAACTGTCTAAAGGGAAGAAAATGATGAAAGCTTTGCATCATATTTCCAGATGGCACAGAGAATTTGTTCAATTTTGTGGTGTTTACTCGGGGTTGGTAAAACACATATTTAGATTTTGAAGCCCAGTGGAAAATACCTTAATGATGAGTAGTTTCCACCAAAGCCTGAAGAAATTCTAGCTGGATAGTGTGCTGTACAAAACTAACCCCAAGCAAAGGAAATATTATCACAGCTACCAAAATAAGGTGGTTTGTGAACAGGAATCCTGACAACTTACTATTTATGTCTGTTCTTATCCAAGATCCAAATTCAAAATGTCATAAGCAAATAGTGTCCATTGAATACATAAATTTTGCCAAACAATTGTTACGCTAAAATAAATTTATTTGCCTACCTTAAAGTAAAAACCTTAAAAAAAAAATATGTCAGATGATTGCATTTCCTGGGATTCTTTCCTTATTTTCTTTTCCAGTTTCACTGAAAGCAAGCAAAAGAAACTGACACTGCTTATAGGTCTTGTGGTACTCACTCAAGAGGCAAGAGAGCCAAGATAACTGAGATTAATACTAGCAAGTGTTTGTTTCCTTAAAATCATATCGACCACAGAGAGTACATGTGTATCATGCTAAAGTACACTCCCAATTAGCAAATAAGCTATTAAAGAGCATGGAAGAAAAGCAGGTTTAAATTTCCTGATGGAGAAGAGAGGAATAACACGGCAAGGTTTATCCTTTGCCCCTGCTGGGACACTGCTTCACCTCTGCAGCTACAGTGTTAGGGATCTCTTGCCAACCTTTTCTCCCCTCAGAAAAAGCAAGTTGATAAATTCAAGCCAGATTCACCCAACCAGACCACTTGTGGAAATCCTGCTGGACCTGGACAGACAGGAGGCCACACGGTGCTTACAAACAGGCTGAGTACAGAAGAGCGGGTTGTCTGCCCTTCTATCCAAACCGGGTTTAGAGGGCTGCTGGAAGCTACACTAACAAAA